CCAGCATCTCCCTCCCGCCGCCCCGCTCCCGGCTCTCCGCGATGCTGCTCATGGCATCCACATCCCTCCCCCATTTCTTAATTTTGCCCTCATTGAAGCACGCAGCCCCGCAGCCTGTGGGATAAACTCGGAGCGCGCTCTGGTATTGGCTTGGAGTCAGGAGTGTCTGGGAGCTTTAATGAGAACCAAGTGTAAGGCAAGGCTCAGCCACCTGTCCGCGGGATCCCCGGCCAAGCGCTCTGGGCTCCCATTAATCAATGGCTCTGCCTCTTGGAAAGTCTCTTTAGCATGCTGCACCTCTCCCCCAGGGCGATTGCAGAGCGGATTTAGGGACCTGGAAGCCCTCTGGTAATTTTTTTCTAAGCCAGACAGCAAAGCGGGGCTGGTGCTGCCGGCAATTCAGTGATTTCAAAACCGCTACAAAACGCTTTGCAAGGATGGAAAAAAAAAAACAAACAAAAATGAGTAGGAGAGAAGCTCTTTATATTGCAGGTCTGCAGTCCTGCCCTCTCTCCCCAGGAGCAGCACCTCTCCCACCCCCCTGCTTCCCAAAGACACTGCCTAACTGCTTTTCAAGGGAAATTAGCTTAGGGGAGGATATTTTTTTTTCTTTTTCCTCACAGACATGAGCTGCTTTGATTGCCTGGAAGCATGATTTCCTGAAACCTGCTCCTTTCTGGCTCTTGCAGGGAGGTTCACAATAAAACGTATTGTGGTTTTGAGCTGGGTTTTATTTAAGAAAATGCCATTCTGGGTTGGTCTCTTTCATGAGGCAGATGGAGAAAGAGATGAAAGGCTGACACTTGGGATAGTTCATTTCTGCTCTTTAATTGTGGGTCGTGTCTTTTCTATAAGAAAAGAAATCTTCCCTGGGAACCGAGGGGAATTGGAGTGGAATAAATGAAAAAAGGAGGAATGATGCCTGCTAATTGCATTTTTTTTTGTTTTTGAAGCTTTTCATCTCATTCTTCCAGGAGCAGTCCTGTAAATGGGGATATTTAAATGCACTGCTTTTATAGATCCAGGAACACTTCTGGCTACTCACTGTGCTTCGGTGTAAGGCAGGCTCTGTTCCAAGGCAGCCTTGGAGCAGTGTCAGGTGCAGCCACTGGAAACCAGTGCAAAGTTGTGGTTTGACAGATAAAAACCGAGCTGGGAAGTGATCCTGTACCATGTTCATGCTGCTATTAATTAAATAAAAATTCAGGCTCAGGTCCCTGCTGGTCAGTGTCACCGAGCTGGAGCAGAGCTCAGGAACCCAGAGGTCTGGTGCTGGGCATGGGGCTGGGTGGGATCTGTGCTTAGTGCAGTGTTTGGTTGCTTTCTAGGATGAAGATACCCAAGTGGAGGTGGAGCAGCATCTCCATCAGTGCTCAGCTGCAGCTGAAAGGCACCCTGGCCCTTCTTCTTGTGGGCAATGTTGTCTTTGTCATAGCTCAGGTAAGGCTACCAGGTTTTTGGGGGCTCTCTGGGCTTTAAATGCTCTGGTGTCTGGGATGGGAACTCCCTGGGCTGGCAGAGCTGCTCTGTGCATGCTCCAGGTCTCCAAAAATGGTGAGGACTTCTGACTTGCCTTCACTCTTTAATCTGGGCTTAACCTTAGTTGTGCCTACCATGGCCAAGAGCATTCACAGAGTATTTCAATGACTCTGAAGGGCCATGCCCTGCTCTTGGTGAGCATCATTCCTTGCTCCCTGCAGTGGCTGAGCTTTCATTTGCTTTCCATGCAATATTTGCAGCTCCTCTGCCCTCTGATACATGGTCATGACAGGGGATGGGAGCTGGGGGTGTCAGGGACCCTCCTCAAGTGACAAACCTGTGCTTGCAGAGAGAGCACACAGGGTCCTGCACCCTTCTGGCACCCCCTGGCACTCACTGACCTGCTCTGCTGCTGCAGAAGGGTTTTGCAAGGGTTTGTTGAAGCTTCCAGTGGAGCTTCCAGCTGCAGCTGGCTCTGCAGCTCCCTGAATTCTCTGTGGAGCAAGAGTCAGAGAGCACCGAGAGTCTCGCAGAGTTTAGGGCTGTTTGGGAGCTCGGTTTTGCCAACTGAGCGAAACAATGAGAATTTCCTTTCCTGAGGAATCCCAAATATTGCCACTTCATTCCAATTTTGTAATGAAAACACAATTGCAAGAATGCAGGGATGGAAACCTCAGGCTTGACCTCAGCTGGAGAAGGCAATGCCTGGGTCGAGTGGGGCAGGCTGGGAGGGGAGGGCTGCCCTCAGTGTCCCCACACGGGCTCTGGGGTTTGGATGTGACTCCTGCTTCTCCTCCTTCCCCTGTGCTCCGAGCAGGACCTGGCACAGACGTCCAACAGCCTGGAGGAGGGGTCAGATGTCACTGCTTACTGGTGGGGAGAGTGGACCAAGTGGACAGCGTGCACCAGGACCTGTGGGGGAGGCGTGAAATCCCAGGAGAGGCACTGCCTGAGGCAGAGGTACAGCCCCAGGGGCTGGGGAGGGGCTCTGCAGCAGCTGCCTGACCCCAGAGGGCACAAGCACTGATGGAAATGTGTCTGAGCAAACCCTGCTGGGGCAGGAGGGGGTTTCCTGAGCTTTGGCTGGTGCAGAGGGGCAGCAGGCACAGACTGAGCCTGTTCTCCAGGCCTTGGGGCACAGCAGCCCCTGGTGCAGGGCTGGTTGGGGACCCACTGGTTCCATCTGCTTTGTGCCTGGCTCTGCCCTCTCTGGGCAGCGTGGTTGCCAAAAAACCACTTTGTAAACCTTGGATACCTCCTGGAATAGTTGGTGATGCAGGTGACAAAGCCACAGAGACCTTTGCAACCTGCTCCAGGGACAGACCTCTGTGGCTCTGCTCTGTGGACACTGACCTTACAGAGAGCAGATATATTTAAACAAGGGAAAATGATTTCTGCCCCCCATCTAACCACCATTTCCTTATTCAGAAGGAAGTCAGTGAGTGGGCTGGCTAATAAAACTTGCACTGGAACATCCAAGAGATACCAGCTCTGCAAAGTCCAAGTAAGGATATCCTTTGTCTTGTTGGGAAAGTCATGTGTGGCATTTCTGGGTCCCTTGGAGAGGGGACACCATTTGTCCTCAAGCTGTCACCCTCTTCCCCATCCAAGCAGCTGGGGGTTCCCTTCTTTGGTGCCAATTCCTGGGCTTTGGGCATTTTGCCATAAAAACCAGAGAGGGACTCTGGCAACAACTCCCAGGGGGTTCCTGCAGTGGGGGGAGGAAGAGGAGGAGGAGGACGTGGCCTGGCTGGGGAAGGTGATGGAAACACTCCTTGCAGCTGGTGCTGATGTGCCAGAAACCTTTCCCGCACTTTGTTTCCGTCAGGATGTTAATGTATCCCATTCTAGGAGTGCCCTGTGAACGGAAGGAGCTTCCGAGAGGAGCAGTGCTCGTCCTTTAACTCCCATGTGTACAATGGCAGAACCTATCAATGGAAACCTTTATATCCTGGTAACAAGACATTCTTTGTGTGTTTCATAATGCTCAGCCAAATATTTTGATAGTTATGATGCTACAGCCCGCAGGAAGGCTCCTCCTCTGCTGTTTTAAAGTGGTTTTTCAGAGGCACAATCAGCTGTCTCCCGAGTTCAAAGGCTTGTTTGGCAGCTGTAGGGTAGCTTGAAAATTAAATAACAACATGAATTCATGTCTGTAGCCTGTGTTGGTCACAGCTCCCAGGGACCAGAGGCTGCAGGAGGATGTGGGAGCAGGAGATGTGAGGGCTGTGCTGGCAGGGACAGTCGGGCTCACCATGACAAGTGTCCTTTGAGCCAGGGCCATTGCTGCCTGTGCTGTTTCAGTGATATTTGGTCTCTCCCACGCCCTCTGTGTGCTCTGTCAAATGTCACTTAGATGAAGTTGGTCACTTTGGTCATCTGGGGTGAGCAAGAAGAGCAGAAACTACTTGGGACTCAGAAAGTGAGCTTTTATTGAACTTTTATTGAACACTGGACTCCCATCAAAATCAGGCATTAACCACAAGCCATGGATGAGCTTTAGAGCTGCTGGGAAGGCAGGGCCCTTCTTCTGAGGAGGCTCCTGAGCTCAGATTCTTCAGGTCCATAAAAACAGAGATGGGATCAGATCCTTCTTCATTTCAGATTCATTTGAATGCTTAAAAATAAAGATGGGAGCTCCTGCAAACTTTGTTTTAGGGGTCTCTGGGCATACCCAAGAGCAATTATCTCCATCAAATCAATTTCCCTGTGTACCAAGCCCCTGGCTCTCCAGCTTTTGTAGGGTCAATGAGATAGAACTTGGTCCACTAGCTATTTCTCCTTGGTGGCTTTTGTCCCTTGAAGATGACAATTTCCTTAAACACGTTTGCTGCTCAAGCTGACTCACCAGAGATATTGCAGGAGTTGTTTTGTGTTTGAGCAGGAGTTCACGTGGCTCCTGGGGGATTTGCAGAGAATATTTTGACACTGATGCTGCCTTGCTTGGGTGTGCAGGCCAGTGGGTCTCTGACTGCTCAGGAGTTGGTGGAGACAAACACTTGGGGTTCTGATGCAAATATGATTTTGTCATCTGCTTCCTGTGGATATTATAAAATGTGGGATTGCTGTGCTGGTGGGTGCTGCCAGCCAGTTGTTGTCAGTAGAAAGCAAAGGGTGAATTAAGTCCATCTTTGTGAACATTTATAGAAAAGTTATAGATCATAAAATGCTCGGAGTTGCTATGGTTTTGCATATAATCTTACAGCTGTATTTCCAACAATATATGTATAAATTTAAGTCATGTATCAAGTGTTGCTAAGTGCACATGGAGGTTTTTGTGAAATGTACTTGCACAAAGCAGTGCTGCTGCCTCAGTGCCTGCCCTGGGCTGGTGCTGGTGATGCCCCTGGCATCCCTGGGGCATCTCTTCCAGCAAAGGCTGCCACACTGTCCAAGTGCCATCTCCTGCCTGTCCTGAAACACAAGAGATGGCCACTTGTGAACTCTCACTGCTCTGCAGTTGTGCTGCTGTTGTTTAGCTTGGCAGAGATTCGCTGGCTTGGGTTGGATGAAAGTTGTGGTGTTTCTGCTGTTTTTGAATCTCTCTTTATATCCTTTCCCCTTAGATGACTATGTTCACATTTCTAGCAAGCCCTGTGACCTTCATTGCACCACCGTGGATGGTCAGAGACAGTTAATGGTTCAGGCCAGGGATGGAACATCCTGCAAATACACGGATTTCCGAGGGGTTTGCGTGTCTGGAAAATGTGAGGTTGTTAAACATTATAGCAAAAATCTCGTTAGTAGCATTCAGAGAATCGCAGTGGGTGCGACGTTTGCCTGACCCTCAGTGCTCTGTCTGTGCATTTTTTAGCCCATTGGCTGTGATGGCATTCTCTTTTCCACCCACACCTTGGATAAATGTGGAGTTTGCCAAGGAGATGGGAGCAGCTGCACCCACGTAACCGGCAGTTACCGGAAAGGAAATTCTCATCTTGGTAAGGCTTTGGGGATTGAGGGCTTGAGTTGAAAGGGCTGGGTTTAAAATTGACTCTTTTTTTTGGTAAATTGTTTTTAGGTCTTACCAACTGCCCAATTGAAGTTTTTTCCATGTGTTATATGTGTGTTAATGCTGCTTGTTTGGGCAGAGAAAACCTTCTTTAAAAAAAACCAAAACAGAACAGGAAATTTGCGTGGTATTTGTCAGAAACCAGAGGTTTCTGATGATGAGTGGTGCAAAGGGGTTATGCAAGAGGCTGGTATCTATTTTAGTCCTTTTTAGTCATTTAGCCAAAAACAAGACCCTCATGACCCAGTAAGACTAGAAATAAACGACTTGTAATAACAGGAAGCAACAATATCTTGAAAGACCAGGATTTCAAAAATCAGTGTGATGTAAAGCAGCCGAACGTACATGTCCTAAATATAACAGTCTAATTCAGGAATTATGATTAATGCTCTCTGAGATGGAGCAAACTGCAGGAACTTCAGTGCTGTGGGAAGATTTGTCCTGTCCCATCTCTTGTCAGGTGCTAGGCAAAGGGGAGGCAGAGGAGAAAGCGGGTCCCATCTCCTGCTGGGGTTTTGGAACGCTGGCTAACACAGGGATCAATACTGAACCACACAACAGCTTCTCTAGCTAATAAAACCATCTGCAGATGTATTTTCTTACACCAGTTTATATAAACATGGTATTTGTGCATGTAAGAACTGAATCCTTTCCCCCCTTGGATATGTTTTCCCTCCATAAACCAGGACACAATTCATACATTTTTCTTCTCTATCACCAATAAGCTCCTGTTTGCAGCCTAAAACATGAAGGATTGGGGCTTTTAAATCCATAACTCATTAAAAATGTGGGTCCAGGCCAGGGTGTTGGCTAGCTTGCAGCTCTGCCTGAGGAGGGCTTGGTTCAGATCACTGGTCACAAAGATCCTCTGGTTAATCCGTAGGCTATTCCCTGGTCACGCACATTCCCGCCGGAGCGAGGGATATCCAGATAGTGGAACGGAAAAAGTCTGCAGATGTTCTGGGTGTGTATAACCTCTTGGTACTTCCCTAGGATGCATGTCTATGCTGGTTAATGCTTTTTCCAATGCAGAGCTGGATGTAGTTTTGTCATAGAATCACAGAATATCCTGAGTTGGACGGGACCCACAGGGATCAGTGAGTCTGTTTGCTGCAGACAATCTGTAGGCAATGTAAATCCATCCGTGTTGTCCAAGCCAGAGTGTTGCTCCTCTCTACAGTCTGAGCACCTGGGCTGTGTTTGTCAACAATTTGATTGCTTTAAAGCAGGAAATGTTGGTGAATATTATTTCAGCAGGGTGTGACAGATGCCCTGGTGCTGGATCACAGATGGCCAAGTGACTTCACCTCTATGGTGATCCCCTCAACCTTTCCCTGCCTGGGGAATGTGCAATGACAACAGCACCAAGGGGATGTGACCTGTGTGTGGCCTTGCTGAAGTGTTTGGGACCACACACCCATCTCACGGGGGAGGTGACAGTGTGGAAAAATCCAGACTTGCCAAAGAGAAGCACATTTGCTGCCTCAGAGTCTTGTGGCTTCTGGAAGGTGGCTGTCACTTCCCTGGAAGTGTTCAAGGCCAGGCAGGATGGGATTTTGAGGAGCAGTGGAAGGTGTCCTTGCCCATGGCAGGATGAGATGAGCTCCAAGGTCCCTTCCAATACAAATCATTCTAGGAAGATTCTGTGGATGAAAAAAGCTTGTTGTGGTTAGCAGTTCCTGGGCTAGCTCAGGGGTCATCAGTGGCATCTTGGGCCACTGTGGGCTGGTGCCAAGGGGGTGACAGGAGCCAGGGGTTGAGTGTGAGCCACGTTCCTAGGGGTTTGGAAAGTGGAGGGACACGTGGCTCAGAACTCTGAGCACACCCTCACATGGTGAATGCTGCAAACGAGTGACCAAAGCATTGCCATGTAGGAGAATCTCTTTTTTTTTTTTATTGCTGTGGCACTGATTTTACCCCCTGAACACACCAGGGGCTGCATCCAGAGCTTTGCATGTAACAGCACTGACTGTTCTCTCTCCTTTGAAGCTGTGGCTGATGAAGCTGGGTACTATTTCTTCAATGGGAACTATAAAGTGGACAGCCCAAAGAACTTCAACATTGCAGGCACGGTGTTCAAGTACCGCCGGCCCATGGACGTGTACGAGACTGGCATCGAGTACATTGTTGCCCAGGGACCCACAAATCAAGGGCTGAACATAATGGTGAGCTTTGGCTTCTCTTCTCATGGTGAGAAAGAGAAAATCCACCGTGGATTGAGGTGGGGGTGAGCTTGGGAGCAGAGTCCTGGCATGGTTTCACATGAGGAGGGGATGGGAGCAGTGATTCTGGCCAGTTCCTTACCCAACCCTATTATATTTGTGTCAGTGCTCTTGGATTCAGGCAGGGCTGTCAGTGGTGAATGTGGGCTTGGTAACTCCTCTCTGCAGGGAGAAGATGCCTCAGGCACTGTGAGGGGATTTCTCCTCTGCTCCTTGGCATTTTTATCCAAGTTACCTGGCAGGAAAAGCAAAAATAAGAAACTGGGCCAGAGAGCTTAGACAAGTGCATAAACCTTAAACCCCAATTCTCTCTCGAAAGCAAACCATGTAAAACCAGGTATTTGGAGAAAAGTCCCTCAATTTTCTTCCGGGCAGCCAGCCAGAGCCCAACTCCTGACATCTTCCATGTAGCCCCAGGCTCCTCTGGAAGGGGAAGGGATGGTTGCTTGGGTGTTTAAAAAGCATTAGACCCTATGAGGCTGCCTCAGCTGGGAGTCCCCAGCCCCAGTGGGGTGTAGTAGCTGCAGGGGAGAGTGTGCTCTTTATAAAGTCACAAAAGTGGCTTTACAAGTGATGGTCTTGTGAAGTGGCTGCCCCAAGCCTCTGGTCACTCAGTGGCCAAGGAGGAAGAGTGTCCTGTGGCTACTGGGATTAATCCCCATGGCAGCACTGCCAAACATTTAGAAAATGGTGCAGGGCTCCAGCAGGAAGAAGCTGGCACTGTGAAGGAAAACACTCTGGAAACAGCAAAATTGATGCTCCCCAAGTGTCAGGTCCAAGATGAATCCCATGCTTTGCCTGCCACAAATTCCCTGCACCCTCTAACAACTTGATTTCTTTGCTAGGTCTGGAATCAAAATGGCAAGAACCCATCCATCACGTTTGAATACACTCTGCTGAGGAAGCCACACTCAAAGAACCTGCAGCCCATCTTCTACACCTTCTCTGAGTCGGAGAGCGAGGAGAGCCGCGAGTTTGACGGGGACGTGCCACTGGGCTTCATCCAGCACAATGCAACCTATTTTGGGAAAATCTCCAGGGAAAGGATAGACTTGGAGAACCAGGTGTTTGGAAGGCAGGACACGGAGGAAGATTTAAACTTGAGCAAAGGTCAGGAAACCAATGAGGTCTATGAAAGAGCAGAAACAATTGACTGTGAGCCAAAACTGAAGGGCAAACAACCCCAAGGTAAGGAGGAGACTTGGGCCTCAGTGTTCTGCTTCTCAGAGCTCTTGTTGAGAAATGCTCTGTTTCTACCTCTGGTGGTTCTGCTGGTTTGTGTTTTGGAAACCTCGGAAAGTTCTTTAAAACATCTCTGCTCACAAATCCTCTTTGCCCTTCAGATTCTGGTTTCTGGTGAGGGCGTGTGGGGGGTGGACACCGGGTGAGACCTCCCCGCTGGTGCCCTGCTGTGCTTTGCCTCATGCCAAGGACAGGAGGGAGCCCTGGGTGCACAAAACTCCCCATCACAACATCTCCCATCACCTCCCACCCCTCCAAAGCCCCCATTTGAGTCCCTTGGGCATCCCACCCCCAAATTGCCTGAAGTGCCTTCCCAGCATGGCTGCATGGGCTGTGGGGCCAGGGGAGCACCTTCCTTTCATCTCTGCTATTGCTTTGGGCAGTGCTGGCGGGTGCTGAGCTCCCCTCTGGCCACACCATAGCAGGATAAGCCCCCCCCCAAGCTGCACACCCTTGGGAACCCCATGAGACGCCCCTGCCCTGCCTCTGGCCCCCCGTGTGGCTGCTCAGGCTCCGGCGCGTCCCCGCTGCTCCGGGCTGCTTCTCCCTCCCAGCCTCGATGCATTTTGTGGTTGTCACTGTGGTTTCCCCCCTGTTGGCTCCAATCTAGATTCAAACGTAACCAGGTCTACTTACCAGACAGACCATGACGACAGAGAGCCCGAGGCCAGGCTCAGCTCCAGGGAGTTCCTTCTGGAGAACGCCATCACGGACAAGCTGCTGGGCAAGACCTCGGACTCCAAGGAGCTGCTGCTCAACGTCACCATGAACAGCATCTTCGCCCAGGGAGACCCAACCAACTCGGTGGGGTCACCCCTTGACAGCCTCTACGTGGACTACGAGGACAGCGATGGCCTCGTCACCTACTCGGTGAACAGCACCTTCATGGAGCTGAGCAATGGCAAAGCCACCAACACCTCTGCAGAGACGCCCTTCTCCAACGCCACCGTCACCATGGGCAGCCCTCAGGGGAACAGAACCCACAAAGCAAGGTAGGAGACGTGCCTTTCGTTAATAAATCCAATTTATTGATGTTCTTGACTTGTAAAAGCTCTGTGCTCAATGCATGGTTTCCATCCCTTTGGAAGCAGGAGGTAAGTGGGGGTGGGATGGTGGAAATGTTCTGTTGGGAGTTCATCTGCAAGGAAGGGCCAGAGGTTTGGGAGCAGGAAGGCATGAGAGCATTTAGGCAAGAGGAATTCTTGATGTCCCCCTCGGTGGCCATGCTGAAGTCCATGCTGATTTTTGTCACCTGGGGCTTTGCTCTCTGCTGTCACAGCTTCTTGTCAGAGCCACAGCCATGAAGAAGCCTCTTCCTTTTGCCTTCTCTTGACGTCCTGCTCCCATTCCCCAGCCCCTTCATCTGAGTTCTGATGCAGCAGAAGTTGGTCCTGGCCCCTTTTCACCCACCCTGTTCAGTGCCACCTATGATCCTCCTCACTTGGGATGGCAGGAATATGCTTCCAGCAGCTCCCAGGTGTGGCCCTGGCACCAGGAGCTCCACTGTAGGTCCAGGAACAGCCTGGATTTGTTGCCTCAGCAGCTGCAGAAGCAGCTTGGACGGGAATATCCAAAGCTCTGCAGCAGCAGCTCATTGTACTGGGACCATCACCTCAGAATCCTTTAGATGGCTGGTTTGAGTGGAAGTGGGGAGGTAAAGAAAGGCCTAATGTAGCTTTAGCAGCAGGTTTTGCTCTGGGGAAGGGTGGAAGGAAGTCTTGGGGTAGGTGCTGATCCCCAAGCCTGTATCTATCAGCTTTTGAGATATCCCAGGGCTCTCTGGGGAGCAGCCTTGATTCCCAGCCCAGAACTCATTCCCAGTGTGGCCACATGGGGTCTGAGATGGGGACAGTGCTCACAGCAGCAATTAGCCCTGCAATTAGCCCTCCTTCATGGTCAGCTACCCACTCAAGAGCACTCCCTGGGCAGCTTGAGCTGACTCTGGGGCTTTGGGAATATCCAGGTCCCAGAACAAGGTGTGGGTTTGGGTCCCACTGTGCATCCCCACGGCACCCCAGCCTCCTCCTGGACCTGTAAAACACAGGATAAGATGCTGATCTGGAGGAGATGCAAAGCCCAGAGCAGATGCTCCCTCTGGTTAGAGTTAGCTGGATTTACCCACAGCTTCCACTACGTTATGCTAAAGACACTCGTGCTAAAGAAAATGGCCATGCAGCCAGATGGATCAACAAACTTCTTAATGATAAGAACATGAAAACCTTGCCAAGGGCTTGAATCTATCATCTCTCCTCGTGCCTTGGCTTGGGAGCGCTGCCTTTAGCTGCCAAAACAAGCATTTCATCCTCTCTGACAGAGAGGGCAGAGCCCTCAGCTCCCCTTACCCTGCCCTGGGGACTGCCCTGCCCCTTGGGGCTCCCCATCACACACCCTGTGTCCCCTCAGCTGCCACCCTGCACCCCAAAACTCTGTCCCAGCAGCTGTGAGATGGGGGCAGTGCTTCCCTACCTCTTGGGAGTACAGGGACCTTGGCTTTTACAGGGCAATCACAGAACACTGGGGCTCCAGTGCAGTTTTTGGATGCTAAAAAGCTCCTTGCACTGTCCCTGGCAGCCCAGCTATTGATAACAGTGATTTAAACCCCTTCAGGAATGTCACCCAGCACTGACAATGTTTTCCACCTGTTCTTCCCTTGGTTTTGTTCCACAGTGTCCCCTCTTCTCTCTCTGGAACAAAATACAAACTTTTCAGATCAAAACACTGATATCCAGACCAGTTTTGCACCAGCCAAAAGGCTGAGAGATGCTCAGGTCCTTTCAGGCTGGACCTGTAAAAGCAGCCACGAGTTTGCCCCTTTGCTTAGGAACAAAAAACCGAAATAAAACACAGGAATGGGAGCCAGGGGCTGTGGATGTTGAGCCGGGGTGGTTTTGTGTGCATTTGTCAGGGTTATTCCTCTGCTGTGGGAGCTGTTTTGGGAAAAGGGGCAGCCCAGAACTCAGTGAAGGGTGAGGGAACGGTGCTAATTTTTGGTGCTGTATCTTGCTTGAAAAGCTGATTAAAAGTTTGAGAACAAATGTGTGACTTTATTATTTAGCTCATAATAAAGAAGAAAATTGAAAGAAAAGAGAAAATGCCCCCAGTTTTGTTAAACAATGGGCTGCTGTCTGCATTGAGAGGAGAACAAAGTGACAGTTTTGTCTTTGCTGGAAATGAGCTGCCCTGTGCCCAAATGTCAGATTCCTCTGGAAAGATCTTGTCCCCTTGTCATGCATAGAAGCTCTTTATTTGGGATCACATACACTAAAGGGACACTGTTGAAAGATTTACTGTCCTCAGATGTGGGATAAAGCTTATTTTGAAGATGTTATCCTTGTAAAGACAGAGGAGTCCTGATCACAGGATAACTCGGTGTTTACTTTGGTGCCTCAGAGATCAGGGGATAGACTGGAGGAGCTGGGTAATATTTCCAGGCAAATTAAAGTACAAAAAGCAGATGTTGACTATGTTTTAATGAATTTGTGAGCCCTCTCCTGGCTGGGTGGCAGCTGGTGGCACAGGCCAGGGATCAGGAGCTGTTGTGTGTCCCCAGGCAGAGCTGCTGTGGCAGATAAACACTATTTATAATGAGCTGAGATTGTTATTTTTCCACTAAAAAAAAAATTAAAAAATAGTCACATTTATTTCAGTTCCATTTCAAGTGCAGGAAGCAACCATTTGCCAAACTGACAGAGGCAAAATCAACAGGGAAAATGAGATTGTTGTTGTTTTTAATCCTTCTGGAGGCTCAGTGCTGGCGGTGGAAGGAGGGTGGGTCGGAAAGGAAACGGCTGGATTCTCAACAGTGTCCTTTGAAAGGTTGATTTGATAGGCTGGACCTCAACTTTTTCTTACAAACAACTAAATAAGGCAATTTCAGAGCTTCTGCTGCCTAGAAATCATACAAGCTGCATATCCTGCCAGGCCAGAGACAACTGGATGTGAGGATACAACCTTGTACACTATTCCAGTGTAGCTGTTCCAAGGGTTTGGACCAAGGTATGAGAACAGAACCAAAGCCTTTTGTTGTAAAGGTGCAGTATCCCTGAGGTGTTCCCCCCTCCCAGCATGGGGAGCAGCTGCAATTCTTGCTTGGATAAATGTTTTTTCTCACACCAGGCTGACTCTGTTACTCCTCTCCCCGTGGCATTTTGTGTTTGAGCACAGCTTGGAGCTGGAGAGATGCAAATTCCCCACTTGACATCCAGCAAAATAAATCAGACCAAAAACCAGAGTGGCAAAATCAGTGGGCTTTGAGGGGAGAGCTCAGAAACTCCTGTGCTGGCTTTTGGAGATTGGAGCAGCCAAAATCTCTGCTGCACTGAGCAGCACGAGTGGGTTTGCCCAGCCCTGGAGACACAGGGGAGGAGATACTGCACCTTTAGTCACTGTGGGCCGAGGGCCAGGTGTATTTGAGCAGAAAAATGCAAACTTTTGTTAAATTCTGAACTGTTTCTACTTGTGGGTATTTTTATCCCATTCTCTCTATTTCTAGACAGTGGAAGCTCTGCCTCTAACCGGGCTGGGGATTCTACTTGGGGCTCAGGACAGGTATGTTGTGAAACTAAAAAAAATTAAAAATTGATTCAAACAAACGAACCTCCCAAAAAATCAGAACAACCAAACCCAACCAAAGCCAAACCAAGCACATCCCCTCCCAAACCCAAACCCAACCGAACTGCAGCCAGATGTGTGTGTCTGTTGTGGGCTGTCACTGCTTGCCTTGTAAATGCCTTTCTTTTGTTTTGTTTTTTTTTCTTTCTTTTCTTTTCTTTTTTTTTGTTTTGTTTTGTTTGCTTATTGCTAGAAACAGATTGAAGTTGTTAAGAAAGGGCCAAGGTGTGAGTGCTGCTGACATGTACAGGTGGAAGCTTTCCTCCCACGAACCCTGCAGCTCTACATGCACCACAGGTAGTTATGAGAAGCAGCCAAATTCTGCACAGCCTGCTGAAATCACCTGGTGTGTGAGTCCATTTTATGTCTGTTAGGGATGGGAAGGAGCTGGTGGTGTTCAGGGGATCTCATGAGCTCTGCTGTGCCCGGGTGTAAAGGTGGGGAGAGGAGCTGGGGGCTGAGCATGCAAACCCCACTGAGCTCTCAGGTGTGTTGGGGACCAGGAGGTGATGCCCGATGTGTCCATCATCCCTCCAAACTCTCCCTCTGGGAAGCTCTGAGCACTGCCTTCACTTCCATCACTTTGTGTCCCCCCTGGGGCTCAGCAGGATCCCCAAATCCTATCCTGAGCCTCTGTTTTTTTCCCCCCTTCCTCACCTTTTTGACAGCTTCAAAGGGTTTGAAAAGCTCAGCTGCTTCCCCGCAGAGAGAAATTTTAAAGATTGTTCAGCTCTGGCAGGAAACACAATAGCACTTGGCTTTTTGATTATGTTTTGTTTCTCCCACTCCTTCTACCCTGGAGCCTGAGCTCGGCTGCGAGGGTGTAAATCTGGAACAGTGACAGAGATGCCAGGGATATCGAAACTGAGCCTCTATTCTTCAGGCAGAAATTCCTTCTTTTTGCATTAATTCCTCCCTTTTTGCCCCCTGAAAAGCTTCAAGGCACCTGATCTCCTCCCTCAGCCCTTGGTTAGGGGGTCCTGTCGATCCCTTGGGATGAATCAGGCGTGTGGGTTGTGCACTTGTCTGTGCTGCCCCTGAAATTATCCAGAGCCTGCAGAGCTTCTGGAATTAAAAAGAGGGAAAGGAGTGGGAGAGAGGAGTTTACAATCTCAGGGATGTCTCTTAAAAGATCAAATGCAAGGGTTTTACATTTTAAGCATTTGCTCTGGTCCAGCAGCCTCGTGCCTGCAGCAGGAGCTTTGCGAGCCTTCCCTTTCCCCAGGATCCTGTCATCCACATGTTCTGGGACATTTTTGACTTCTTTGATCCCCTCTGAACAAATTTCTCCCTTGGCTGGGCCAGCCTGCTCTGCCCTGGTTTGCAGCAAGCCAAGAGAGGTTTAACTCAAATTTCTCCTTCTTCGCTGCCTTTTCTCACTGACATATCGCAGAGAGGCAAGGCCATGTCAAGAGCTGTAGATCTTTTTTTAGTTTCATGTAAACCATATGTTCTCCAGAGCTGCAATTCTTGTTACCTGTAGCCAGAGCAGCCTCCTGGTCCCCAGCCAGGTCCCAGAATGGACTTCCCAACATTTACTCTGGCACGGGAGGCTGTGGGGGAAAAGGTCTCGCTCTGACGGCACCGGCTCAGCTGCCTTGGAGGGGGAGCAGGAGGGGCAGCACCTTCCTTGCCAAATCCCCAGGATCCCTGCCTTGGCCTGGAGCTCTGGATGCACCTGGGGAGCACCTGGTGCAAAGGGAGGGGTGTAATGCCCAGGGAGAATGGGGGATGGAGTGGGTTTGGGGCTGTTTGCTGTCGCCTCCTCCCACCACCCTGTCTGCCAAGCAGACTTGTGGTACTGAGTATTTCCTATAAAAATGTGTTAGTCCTATATTGGTTTTGGTGGCAAGCCCTGGCAAAGGTGGCCATGCCATGCCCTCCTCTGAGCTGGCCAAACTCAACCACACTGCCCGGATTGGTGGGGTGGCCACTGTGATATTCCCTCCCAGCAGCACCCATCCCATGGGACAGGAACTCCAACTTCCTGCTTTCCACAGGGAGGGAGTTTTGAAAAACGCAGCTAAAACCAGAAAAACAACAACAACAAAAGAGTTTGGATGTGCAGCTCACCAAGCACTCTGCTCTGTGTGTGTGTTCTCTCTGAGCCCAGGAGTGATGTCCACCTATGCCATGTGTGTTCGCTATGATGGGATCGAGGTGGACGATGCCTACTGTGATGCCATGACCCGGCCCGAGCCCATCCATGAGTTCTGTGCTGGGAGAGAGTGCCAGCCAAGGTACTGCCAGCACAGGGCCCTCCTGCACTCGCTGTGCTTCCTCTGCCCTGCTTGTATTTTGGGGGAGGGTGGGTGTGGATTTGGGGGACAGCAGGGATGGCCCACAGCACCCCCATCCCTCCTCCCTTAATTCCATCTGGGAAGCAGCAAGAGTTTTTTCCTGAGAGCTTTAGCTCAAGCTACCAGGGTAAAACTTCCATAAATCCTGGCAGAGTTGGCATCTCTTTTTGGTGTCATTTTTAAAAACAAGCATTAGGGTACCGTTTGTGCTTAGATTCTCCCACTAATCTTCCCTAAAATTGTCCCCCCCTTATGGCTGTGCTGATCCAGCTTCAGGGGCTTGCACTGTGAGGAAGAAGAGCTGCCCTGTGATTTACCAGTGACTCCAGCTGGGGAGCACTGGGAGCTCATGGGGCAGCCACCAGAACTTGGGCAGACAGGAAGGTGCTTAGGCTGGCAGTGGTTTTCAAAGAAAAAATGTTAATTTTGGGTGATCTGGCTGGGGAAATCCTTTGTTTCATTTCCCTTCTAAAGTTAGATGCCACCTCTAAATGGCATCTCCAAATGTGTGACATCTCCCTAGGGCTGCCTGGAGCCCCAGATGGGGTGTGAGGCCTGGGGGCAGCTGGGGCTCTCCTGCTTGGAGAAAGGCAGCAGTGGGGATCTGGGGACTGCCCAGAGGAGCTGGAATTCTGATCCATTCTGATTTTTATCTCATTCTTTAATTGCTGTAATATTCCTGTGCTGTACAAAACTTGACCTTTTATGTTTTTTCCCTGGATTGCAAGCTGCTCCTGTCTTGTCAGGACAGAGGTGGCAGGGGACAGTAAAGGACAGGCAGTGCTTGGAGCAGATCCCAGCTCCTCCAGCCTGTCACTTGTGCTCAGCAGAGTCAGACTGATGGTGGGACATGAGTTGTGTCCCACTGGGGCTCGGGCAGCTCTGTCTGACATTACTGCTGGCATCTGCAGGGTGATGGATGCTGTGTCCTCCCTGTACTTCAGCTGAGCAGACAAAAAGAGGAGGTCAGACACGGGCAAAAAGCCTGACACAGAAATATGCTGGCAGAGCCCCTGGTGACAAACTCTCACTTGTCACTGAGGACACTGGGCCAGGCCCTGCTGTGCCACCCTGCCTCCTGACAAGCTGGTTTCAGCTTCAGGCATGAGCTGGGGGCTGTGGGGTGAGCCCAACATATGTTGATGCTTCCCATCCCTTGGGAACAGCTCTCAGGAGTTGGCAGCCTGGCTGCAGCTCACTTCTCCCTTGATGTTGTTGAGTCAGGGATGGAATGAAAGACTCCAGTCTTCAGAAGGTGAATCAGAAGGCAATTTAATGAGAGCAGCAGGTACTTTTATAATGTGACTTGCTAGGGTGACACTTGATTGGTCCCAAAGTGAAAACCTCTCACGCTATTGGTGAGCTATGAACAGCACACTCCGGAGAACCACATCTTTAAACAACGGTTATAGAAAGAGAGAGAAAAATGTTTTAATTCTTTTCTCTAAGTTTCCCACAGCTTCCCAGGATTTTCCTGGGACAGCTATGTCTCTCTCTGCTCAGAGGATATGTGATTACACACTCCCTGCAGCCAGGGCTTTCCTGTGGGCTGCTCCATGGGGTGATGGGCTCTGTTCCCTGCCCAGGTGTGTGGGATTCACATTTTCTGAATCTGAGAGAAGCAGAGAAAAGAATGATACTGCCACAATATAATAAAGTAATTAATTAGTAATTCTGATATCCATGGAGTCCTTGTCATTCCTCCCTGCCTTGGGGGTCGCCTTGCTTTCCCATGCCTTCCCATTCTTTCCTACACTTTCCCATGCTTTTCCACACCTTTCCATGCTTTCCCATGCTTTCCCTTGCAGGTGGGAGACGAGCAGCTGGAGCGAGTGCTCGCGGACGTGCGGCGAGGGGTACCAGTTCCGCATCGTGCGCTGCTGGAAGATGATCTCGCCAGGCTTTGACAGCTCCGTCTACAGCGACCTGTGCGAGGCAGCCGACATCGCCCGGCCCGACGAGCGCAAGGTCTGCAAGAACCCGGCCTGCGGGCCCCAGTGGGAGATGTCCGAGTGGTCAGAGGTGAGTCCTGCTGGCCAGGGCAGCGCCTGAGCCCGGCCTTCCCTCCCTTTTCCAATTTATCATGATGCTTTGTGATTCCTGATGCTTTTTTAGGTCACTGCGTGGCCTAAAATAGAGGCTAGATAGAGTTAAAGAATAAAGGAGGGATTTATTAGGAGGCCTCAATGGATCCATCTAGGCTCAGGCAGGGCTGCACCCAAGATGAACCAAAATGGTCCCAAAAAGCACCCAAGATGAACCAAAATGGTCACAAAATGCTCAACTGGTCATGGAGTCTCTCACTTTTATAAGCTCTGCTCCGTCTGCATATTGGAATTAATTGTGATTCCTGATGCTTTGTGATGCCTTGTGGTTCCTGATGCTCTTTCAGATCACCATGCGACCTAAAAAAGAGGCTGGACAGAGTTTAAGAATAAAGTAGGGATTTATTAGGAGGCCTCAATGGATCTACCTTGGGCAGCACAAGAGTGCAGCCAGGGCTACATCCAAGATGAACCAAAATGGTCCCAAAATGAACCCAAGATGAACCAAAATGGTCCCAAAATGCATGACTGCTCACGGGGTCTCTCACTTTTATCAGTTCTGCTCCATTTGCATAATGGAGTTAATTGTCCAATTACAGCTTTAGGTTATGCAGTCCCATCCTTCTTGTTTTTCTCTCTCCAGCCCACATTGTTTGTGCTCTTGGGCCTGAGATTTGGATCATTTGTCCTTGGTCCCCAGCTAGAGAAGGAATTGTTTTGTCTCCCTGCTCTGTGCACAGAGCTCACCATCCCCTAACATGAAGCTCAGAACTACACACCAAAGCAGTACAGAATCTGAAAAATATAAAAGCTAAACCCTGAGGCATCAATCCTCATCCATAACCATCCACAGCCAGGATACACTGCCTGCAGTAATGCACGTGGATCAATGTGCATCAATATTTTTCCCCTTAAAATGAAGGCCTGGCTCCTGTTTAGGATGGGAGGCCATTGGTCACTCACAGGTAGGGCAGGAGCCCATGACTCAGATCTCCCCATCAGTATTTCCTTGGCAGCCTCTTCAAACCCAACGTGCTGGGAAGGTGATCCCATCTCATACATAAATTACATCCCTATAAACGTCCCTTCCTCACCTCCTCTGCACCACATGCAGAATGAAACCTTTCCCTAGCTGTCCCTTAAACCAGTCCCCAAAGCCTCTGGGGGATGCTTTGGGGAGGGTTCCAGCTCACTTGTTTCCTTGGGAAAACCTGTGGGTTTGTGCTGCTAAATCCCTTTCCAGGCATGGACAGTGCTCCAGCACATCCCTTACAAACACAAACCCATGGAAACACCCAAACCAGCGCTGCTTCCTTGGGGTGCCTCTTCCCAAATCAAGCACAGATCTGATCTAAGCAGGAGCAGATGAGCTCTGAGCCGAGCTGTCCGTGGGTGCCAACCTGCCCCATGGTTTGCATCACGAGGAATATGACTCTTCCTCCTGGGCAGCTCCCAAAAACTCGTCTTAGTCATAATTTAAACGTCTCCATTCCCCTGCAAGCTGGTGTGCATCATTTCCCTGGAGCTGACAGAGGGGCTGGTGCATTCCCTGGTGGTGCAGGATGTTTTGACTTTCCCAGCTGGTAGAGAGGAGCTCCCTGAGCACGTGCTGCAGCGTTGTTTTGTCCAGCATAGCAAATGAGTGGTTTATTTTAAAGAAATGCATATTCTCCTCCAGCATTTGTCAGGGACAGATTGCTTGAGACAGTGCTGGAGTAGATCGTTCTTAGCCAGCAGCAAAGTTAATCTCCTTTGGATCCCATCAGAGATGGGGTGCCAAGTTGGCTGGGGAAATAGGCATTAAAAAAAGCACATTTCAGGGCTCTGAGGATTAACATCTCGGCACAGTGCGTCTGGGCCCTGTGCTGTTGACACTTTTCCCTGCTTTACGTTATGCATGGAGCAAATGTAATGTGTATGTGAGACTGTAGTAACTCAAATCCAGTTCTAAATAATGTCACTGGGCTGCACGGTGCCAAATTTATCCACAGCATAAAAATCTCACTTGTGCAGTCAGGAGGGGGAAAACATTCTCCAAAGAGGTGGAAGGGAGCTGGCTGTTTCTGGGAAGGAGGCGAGGGAGATCTCACCCTGTCTCCAAGTGACAGCTAAAGCTGCTCAGCTCTGAGCAGACCCTCCTGGAGCCTTTCCCCCCTTTTGGCATCACCTGTTGGAGAGCACAGCACCTGGGCAGGACGCAGCTGGGGCTGTGGAGGGGGATTGAGTGAATTTGTGCATTTCCAGCGTGTGCTTTTAAACTTTTA